TTACTCATGGTATACTTGCAAAAAAAAAAAAAATTTATTTCCTTTATGATACTTTTATTCTTATTTTTTGTCTCTGTTTTGGAAAAAATAAAAACCCTTACTTTTTGCTGATACATCTGGTACTTTGAGTGCTTAAAAACAGCTCAATTGATTACTTTTGATGTAAAAACTTCTCAGAAGGAAATTGCATAACAAGACTGGGAGCTCAAATATGTGAGTTTTGGCAAAGAGCTGTGGAAGAAAGGCCTGGCTGTAGCAACCTCACAAGAAAAGAACTTGACATTTTGAAAAATTTTTATTGACCGGTGTGGACAGGGAACGGGAAGTCAAATCACTCTCACAGGCAAGCTGCAGTCTCTTCCTTGCTGACCTTTAAATGCCATTTAGTGTCATCAGAAAATCAAGGAAATGCTAATAACAGGGCTTTGGGTAAGAGAGTTATATATGAGGGATATCTTTTGAAAACAAACATAAGCTGATTTCCGTTTTTATACACATCTATTTTTGTAAAATGGAATTTTCACAGCAGTACAGTTATATTTTTCCTAGATTAATCTTATGTTATTTTATTAATATTAACATTAAATTTTTCAGAAGTATCCGTAAGATACCAGAACTTCTGTTCATCCTTTAAAAGGGAGTTGTTTGCAAAAGACGTCTTATAATTGCATTCTAGGTTGATGGCCTTGGAACACAGACTGGCCTCTGCTTTAGGCTCTTAGTCTAGCTTGTGTTGAGTTCAGCAGGCTGTGGACTTTGGTAGTCTTGTGGACAGTTGACTTCTCAGTGTCTTTTGAAAATGGGACTGGTATGCCTAAGTCACCAGGTTACTCTGAGCCTTCATACTTCTCTGTTTTTAACAGCGCCTCTTTGCCCTTCCAAAAAGTTTTTGAAAGCTAAATTTCAACTAGAAGAACTAGTAGGAAAAAATCCTAAAATTAAACTGCTTAACCCCAAAGAAAACATCTTATATATTAGAAAAAAAGAAAGTTCCTTAGATTTCAGAAGTTTAATGAGAGAGAAAAAACTAGCCGGCAAGTATAACATGAAACAATGGATCCATGAAACCTGATGGCACCATATGTAGGTACTGCAGCTGTTTCTCGCCTCCTTCCAACATCTACTTCTTGGAATTGAAATGGACTTTAGTCCGTGGTTGTGGTTCAGTGCATGTTCAACGCCCTTGCTCGACTAACTTGACTGCTGACCTATGCTGGTGTATCTGTGTTCATGCTGGGTTTGCTTTGGCTTAATTCGGGGGGGGGGGAACTATTTCTTTTTTCTTGCTAGTTTGCATTACTTAATTGTTGTTTGAACTGCTAGCAAAGTGCTCTGACACTAGTGGTCTACCAAAGACTATGATTTTACAAGTTGGGAGACATTTTTAAAAGCTCTTTATATAAATTATTGTCATGAATTTTCTTTCTCTGGCATGGTTTTTCTTTTTTTTTTTCTTTTTTCCTTTTTTTTTTTTTCAAAGCAGTTACAAAACACACGGATTGTAGGAACTGATTTTGATTCTGAGCAGAACATTCATGATAACCTGTTTGTCAAATGAAACAGAGGATAAGGGCTAACTTTTTTAGCCAGCAACATTGGCTGCAATACTTGAGCTTGGCTGTCCTCTCACTTACACTGCTGTAATTTGAGTAATTCCACTGAAATCAATCCATTGATAACAAATTAAAACAGCAAGAAATGAGAAATGGTTTGGGTAAATGGCATGTACGCATCAGGTCCCTGCAAGTTTGCTTAGTTAATGTTGTATGCTCTTAATAGTTGTCTTGCTAACCCACCTGAAAACCAAACCTCCAAAATCCAGTGACTTGGAAAGAAACTGCACTGCATCTAACGCAACATAAAATATAAAAGCTGGGTAAGGCATTGTCTCTCTAGATTAGGCTTACAACAAAAGACGAGTCATGCCAAAAACACTTGTGTCAGTGGTTTGTGTCCAACGTTTTGGGGTTTTTTTTTCCTCTTAAAGCTAATGAAAAGGACTATACACATGGGAGAGCTTGAAGGTCTGCCTCCAGTTACAGAAAGCTCTCATTGCGGAATGATGGGGCTTTCAAAACTACTTTGAAGTTGTCCTCATTCCATTCCCCTGGAAGCCGTAGTGAGTTTTTATTTTAGGGGAAGAGTCTTAACATGAGCATTCTTGAAATGCTCACTCAGTAAATAATGGGCTTGATATAAAGGTTGGACTTGGAAAATAAAACATATTTGAATTTCCAAGTTTTTTATTTTTTCTTTCATTAAAGTCTTTTTATTATAAACTATTTGTAGCGTCATGTAAGTATTACATTTTTTTTCCTGTATCTTCTGTTAGGAAATTCAAGCTTTAAAAAAACCCAGCTTTAAAATGTTTAGTTGTGCATCACTGTATTCCTTCGCAGTGATCTGTTGCCTGGAAAAGGATTCTGATAGCTCTTCAGCCACAAGACCTTGAGGTAGAATTGATTAGGATATTAATTTAAAACTGGATACATCTTACCTTCTTACCGGTACCCTGTATTTGTAATGCTAGGAGGGAAGTCTTAGGGGTCTTTTATTATTTGTATACGTCTTTAAATCTCTTAACAAAATTTCTCAACCTTTTTATCCAGCAAGGAAAATCAAAGAATTAAAACAGTCACAAAAGCATCCCTGTAGAATACACTTTAAAATTATTTTGTTCAGTCACTTTATAACTGTGTGAAAAGAGGAGACTACTTTATATTTCACCCTGTGAACCCTGTCATTTCTTTAGGAGTAAATGAACTTTATTTGATAGAACCAGGTACAATATGCACTGAGAATGACTTAAAACTTGTAGGTTACAGTTTTACAGATCATGATTTTTTCCACTGCCCAAGATACAGGGCCAAGAAAAGAGTGTATTTCTTTGTAAGATTAGACCTAATCTTTTAAACCCCACCTTCCTCTGAGCTTTTTTCTTCATTTGCTAGAAAGGTGAAGAAGTTATTGATGCTATTCAGTTCAGAGAAACTGGCGATGAAAAAGATGTGGCAAATACCTCTTTAATCCTTCATTAAAACTCTAGTCAATCGGAGAAGACTGGTTCCATGCCCTGTTTGTGCTACATATACTATTCCAAGATGAAGTCTGCTGTGCAGTGTGCAACATAAAAGATAACAAAGGCATCCAGCTGATAGTTTTAAGTCAGTGATGGTTGTCACATGCATAGTAAATGCAGGACAAGACACAAATCAGTTTGCTATCTGCATTTAGCATTTTCAGTTGCTTTCACTTTTCAGGAATCAATAGAACATTGAACTTTACCAGGCAATCAGGAACCTGTATTACATACATCTTTTTGCATTGCTATATTTTTAGCTCTTTATGCTTCATCAGTGCTTCCTCAACAGTCCTAAAATTAAATGAATTGTCCTTTTGAGCTTGCTGCCCCACGTTTTTAATTTTTGCCTAAGATTGCTCTTGGCACTTTTGGAAAGCAATTATCATGCCATGTCACGAGTCAAACTCACTTCAAGTTACACTCCTACGGAAACCCAGATATCTACCACAACAATGAGGCAGCCGTACAATTGAGGCAAAGCATTTTCCAGCACTTTCCAGATTGGAGAACTTAGGTTCAAAGAACTACCTCTTTTATTTGGAAAGTGATTGGATTTGCGGTGGCCTTTAGTTTCCTGCCAGTATGTCTTCTGTGATCTTGGACAAAATTCTGCCTGAGAGCATTATGTCCTCGACGGGTGAGTTTTGCGAGTGTGGTAGCCTGTTCCGTTGTGATAAGAACAGCATTATCAACTATGGTCATCAGCCTGCGCTTCCAGAGTAGGTATCCTGCTCCAGCTCAGGGTGGATTGGTATCAGTGATGATTTCGCAAAAGCCATTTCTGAGAAGAAGTGACCATCTCCATAACTTAATTAAAAAGTAAATTCTTCAATTTAATATGGAAGCTTCTCAATTAAGAATAGCAAAAAGTGACTCACAGGTATTGTGATTTAACCCCAGCTGGTAACTAAGCACCACACGGCCACTCGCTCACTCTCCCCCGGTGGGATGGGGGACAGAATCAGAAGAGTAAAAGTGAGAAAACTCGTGGGTTGAGATAAAGACAGTTTAAGAGGTAAAGCAAAAGCTGCGCACACGAGCAAAACAAACCAAGGAATTCATTCACTGCTTCCCATCAGCAGGCAGGTGTTCAGCCATCTCCAGGAAAGCAGGGCTCCATCACGCGTAACGGTGACTTGGGAAGACAAACGCCATCACTCTGAACATCCCCCTCTTCCTTCTTGTTCCCCCAGCTTTATATGCTGAGCATGACGTCACATGGTATGGAATATCCCTTGGGTCAGTTGGGGTCAGCTGTCCCGGCTGTGTCCCCTCCCAGGTTCTTGTGCACCCCCAGCCTCCTCGCTGGTGGGGTGGTGTGAGAAGCAGAAAAGGCCTTGACTCTGTGCAAGCACTGCTCAGCAGTAATGAAAACATCCCTGTGTCACCAACACTGTTTCCAGCACAAATCCAACACATAGCCCCATACTAGCTACTATGAAGAAAATTAACTCTATCCCAGCCAAAACCAGCATAACAGGTTTTGATGGAAAAGTATTTGCAAGATCTTTATTAGCAGGTTCAAAAAATTAATTATGTTGAATTTGTGTCAAAACTAAACTAAAAATGCACATTTTCAAGCAATCATATTTCGTAGTCTTTCCTATTTGTAGATTTACTACTGTATGACTGCATATATTTCTGTTTGTGTATTAATATAAAAATGCATTAAGGCCTTGATCTGCTCACCATGCTCATCGTGTCTCCTGAGTTATTAATATTGCCTGTAAGCTTTGTTCCAGTTGACCTTTAGAAGTGTCCAAAAGTTACAGTTTGCAATTCAGCAAGTTTGGCAGAGGAGCATACATGATTATTCATATCATTATTTAAACGGTAACCAGATGTGTATTGTTTTTCTTCTTTCTTTCACATTGTTTTTAAAAAGTGACGTTAATCCAAGATGTTAATCCATTTACAGGGTTTTTCCACAGCACCAAATTCCCCTTCGGTGAATCCTCGTTCCAGTAGCCTGGGTCCGTCACTGTCCCTTGGTAACATCTCAGGAATGGCAGCAAACCCAGAAGTGAAAAAGCGCAGAGCACCTCCTCCACCAGTTGTGACACCTGCGTTGCAGAACGTGGAGATGAGTGGACAAGAAAAGACGTCAGCACAGGTAACAGTGACAGCACAGAATGGGCTTCTTTGCTTGACGTGCTGGCTACCATCAGTTCATTCATCAGAGCTGAAGTCATTCACAGATATTTTGGCTAGTCAGTAACTACAGCTCACCAAAACTCTTCATCTTACAAAACAAAATTATCAAAAGTCTTGGAGTTTTGTACATATTTACTGAGCTTTCTTGAGACTGCCCCTAGCTTTCCCCCATGTCAAGAATCTTTCTAAATCAGCAAAGTTTTGTGAGGCATTATGCTAAAAGAAGGAGGGTGAAGAAAAAGTAAGGCAGAAAAGCTGGAAATTGTATAGGGTGACTAGGAATCCTTATTGGCCAGGGCAGTCCTGGAAAATGGGTGACAGTTCTAATGACTGATGAAAATCTTCAGCGTCCTGTTTTGCCCAGATGCGTGTCAGGCTGTCGCTTACATCCCTATTTCCAGTGCTGCCGTGGGATACCAGGAGATCATCTCTGCTTTCTGAGTTGTGCCATGTGACCTTTTAAAGCAGTGCTCTGTTTTTGCTTTTAAAAAAGGTCACTGTTCTGCAATACCGTTATCAAGAATTAAACAGAAATGGGGGGAAACCTTTCTGAGGGCCTAACCCTTTGAAAAGAATAGACTTAAAGGAAAAGGAAATTGTTCCTGTTTTTATAGTGACATTCAGGTATGTATGTTACTAAACATACACAAGCGCATTAAGACTTCTGGTTCCACCATCAACAAAAAGTATTACATTCTAAATGTAAACTGTATAAAAGTCAGTGTGTAAAGCAATATATGGATGCTAAATAAGAATGCAAGGAACCAATACCTTCAAGGCTGGCTAATGTGGACTGACTATATCTGCTTAGGGCTTGTCACCTCTACAGCAGACTGGTCTTTGGAAAGCGAACTGTATTAGTGCAAAATGGGAGTTAGGAAGGAATCTTTGAGTTCAGTATAGTGGAGGAGGAGGAGTCTGGTGCTCAGTCTCACTCCCTGTCACTCTTTTATTTATCTGTGTTAAGACATACGTTAAGTGCCTTCTCCAGTGTAGCATTGTGTAAGCAGTTGATGCACGCTTTTGGTAAAGGATTGTGGAATCTTATTTTCCCGTTCTAAGGCTATCTAAAAGTATGATTGCTGGAACATAGTGGCGTTTCATCTTTCAAAGTTGGAATAGGTGCCTTTGAAATAGCACTCATTTATAGACACAGCTGAAAAGAAACAACAGTGTCTTCTTGCAACATTTGGTGCACTTTCTTTTTAAAAATATCCTTTTGAAATTCCTACTGTAAATACTTTGATGAAGTTTCTTGTGTTCCCCAGAGTTAAACATTTAATGTGTTTAAGATAAACAGATCTTTTTATACAAAAATACTGTGGCTTTATAACTCTTAAGTTTATACAAGTGTGGTAATCACAGACTATATTATTCTGCCATTTTCTTAGGCTTATTTCCATGCAGTGTGGCATTGAGATTTTAAATTGTGTTGCACAAAACCACTGAAAATCTAAACTCTCTTTAAACATGTTAACATTTCTATTTTCAGCATTGTTGCAAATAGATTAAAATGCTGACTTTCTGAAGCCATTGGGAGGAAAGTATTTATTTTATTTATCACAAGTAGCATACAGTACAGTGTCAACTTCAAATTCTCTTAGTCTAAAGGAAAAGCTATTTTGAAGAAGGGAAACAGATGAAGGTTGCGTCTGAGGATTTTCCATGACGAAGTTAATATGGGGCAATAGAAACGTCTTGTGTAGCTGACAAAGCCAATGAAGAGCACAGTAGATTATGAGCACGGTTGCTAGAGTCTGTTTGGCTGCATTTGTTGGGTAAAGGACGTCTTTCTGAAAACGGTTGCATAGGTCAAAATATTAAACAGTGTGCTTCTGAAGCTCCCAGGCTGAAAGTTGCTCACAGGCTGCCCTGTAGTTCGAACAAGAATGTGCGGAGCACAGTTAAAATGAAGCACAAGTTCCATGAAGCAATCAAAAACCGAGGGAAGAGATTAATTATTCAGTATTATGTGGCGAGGTAGCAACAGGGATATTGTTTATAAGAAAACCCAAACAGTTCTATTTTATCTACGTGCAGACTATCCAGTTTGCTGTGAAAATAGAGTAAAAAATCTCAGGGTGTAAGTTTATTTCTTTAGTTTATGGGAAAGAATTAGCACTGATCTTTTTTTTCAGGGAAGGACGTCAATTCCTTATTAATGGACTTCCTTCCATAAAAAGATAAGATGTTTGTTTAGAAAACTTTATTTATGTGCAACTGTTACTAACAGGAAGATCCTGCAAAAGGGGAACATGTTTATTTCCAGTAGCACATTAATAGAAAATGAAAAAGGTGGTATTCTGAACTTTCAGAAGGGTTTTTCTTTTTTAACTATCTGGTTCCATAAAGTTCTGTAGAAAAGCACATACTGTAGCTGTTACGAATACCTATAGTTTGACTTTCCAACCCAATAAGCCTGCTATTTTTAACCCATTGTTAAGCTCCAGGGCATTCAATTTTCTTTACAGCATAGATCATGCTTTAGGAATATATATCTCATCTCCCTGCCTAGTGGTTACAATAAAAAATTTTCATGTGTATGAAGACTGGGGTGTTTTAATTTATGCTTTAGATTTAGATTTTCTCTACTCGCTTTTCTGGGTAGGTGGATTACTGCAATATAATTTTACCATATTGTAGCTTTTGTTTCTGTGGGGCTTATAGTAATTTACCTCCTTGAGGGTAAGGCCCCTGCAGTAACTTTAATTACTTTTTAGTGCAGCATCATTAGTTTTCCATGTCTATTTAGAGGTAGTGTTCTCTCTGTAACTGTTTTAAATCTCCTTTAGAAAATACTCATTTCTGTTCAGAGCACAGCTGAGCAATGTTTCAGAGTGCGCTGAACATGCACTAAGTAGTTTGCAAAGGAATGTAGAGTCAAAGAAAGGAGTCTACAGATTTCTTCCCTGGAGACTTCCCCCCTGTTTTTTTTAAACATCTCCCAAGGGATGCTATTTAGAATAATGAGAAGTCACTTGAAAAAGTAGTCTTCAAAAGACCAGGGTACGGTAACATTTCCAGTATGAAATCCAGAAGGTTGGATGCTTTAGAGGCAAGGAGGTCCCCTCCTTTCTTAAGTTGCCATGTGGAGCCCACACCATCTGGAGAGTAGAGCAGAACAGTGTAGAGGGTGAACAAAAACTGAACCCCCTTTGCAAACAATCTCTGTTCTCTGTCACAGCACTTTAGATTATGTGCTAGCAGAATTTGGGGCCACCTTACGGTATGTATAGTGTAAGCTGAATCCCAACCCCAAAAAGCATGTACCATATAGACAAGATATATAAGAGAAAACTATATGAGTATGCCATTGTAGATAGAGCACACAGAGAAAACCCACACGTGAAGTCTGACAGAATTAAACACATCTCCTCAGAAGCTTATTCACTGACCTCTCTTTAAAAGAAAAAGAAGTGTGTTTGGGTCACTTCTTGGAAGAACTGTAGAACTGAGTATTTGAGTCTTTTGGAGGTCAAGACTATCGTGCACTGGTGAATTAGTTTATGGGAATAATTACGGTTGGTTTTTTTTTAGTGTGTATGGGGAAATACAGAAATTGGAGTGAGGGAGGATGATAAAGAAGGCCTCAGGGACTTTCTGTAAGAGCTTTTTCTATGAAATGGAGTAGTTTATTCAGAATAAAATCCTGAGGCTCTTTGGAGATATCAGAATTAGAAGAGGGCTCTTCAGTGCCTTCATCTGTATAATAGCTCTGATGTCAACTCCAGAAGCCAGAAATGCAACTTGTAGACTGTGATAAAGGAGCCATGTGCTGTTTCAGCTGCTGTGATTTTCAGAACAGAAGCACTTTCATATAATATGTAGATGTAACAAGAGGCATTTGGGATTTGTTACTAGCCAGTTAAATTCCTGTACTAATAGAAGAATGGGGCGATATAACAAATACATTATTCTAACATGTTTCATGGATTTTAATCTTAGTTGTAATATTGCAAGACAGTGGGTTTAAATAAAAATTGTATCGTTGCTTTTAGTGTGGGTGAGGAACTGGCCTCACGCTTCCAGAAGGTACCATTATAAACAAACACAATTTTCAGGTTTATTTCAATGTTTATATAGTTTCCTGGGGGTTGTTGTAGACAAACGAACGTATTTGAAATACTGTGGGTTTTGCCCTGCTTCTTACATCCCTCTCCTCTGTTTAGATCTCAAACTTGAATTGCTGAGGACAGTTGTTGACTCCCCATTCTTGGTCAAGGCCATACCTTTAGAGCAGACTACTTGCCCCTAGCGGTTTATCAAGGCTGATGTTTTCTCACCAAGAATAACTTACTAATTCACAAGGCTTACTCACATGAATAAAAAGGAATATTGCAGCCAAAGAGATTCACAGTCATGCTCAGATCATTGCTGGCAGGTTTCTTTCTCCCTACCTCCAGTTTATTTTTGACCAATTTTATGCCTAAATTAGAAGTTCAGCTTTAAGAGAATCATTTTAACATGAACAAATATAAGTGAGACTTTCATATCTTTCCTGGAGAAAGTAAGATACTCACACTAAAAATGTGCCAAATTTCTAGTTTATAGAGAAAAGATACTTTCAGTATTTGATGTACATCTTGTTAAACAGAAGGAAATTAAAAATGTGGAAATGCAGAGGAAATGTTATTTTTGCCATCTTAGTTGATAATTTCTAATACTGACCACCACAGGGTTTTTATTCTTCTTTCTTTTTTTTTTCCTTTTCAAGTGTTTCTATACTCCTGTTGGAGACAGCAGCCTCCTGCGACACGTGGTGCCCTGTTCCAGTGCATATTGCACTTGAAAGAGTTCTGATTCTGCCGGCAATTAGTGATAGGAGTGCCGCAGAGCTGGCAGGACACTGGGTTAGGCATCTTAGCCATTTAGTAGCATTTTCATGCCTTTGGTAGGGATGCCTTTCTCACAACAGAATTTGTGTTACAGTGCTATTCACTGTCCTTTTATATATAAACC